GCGCTCTGCGTCACATCTGCGCTTGGCGTCACACCCTGACTACTCAGTTTGGTGTCACACCCTGACCACTGCTCTCTGTGTCACACCGTGACCACTGAGTCACGGTAAGTCCCTGTTTTTTCTGTGTGACCTTTGCGCTTCCTTACTGACCTCTCACCTGTCCATTACACCTCTGTACTGTTATCACTGACTTCTGAACTGCGTCACACCCGGACCTCTGCGCCACACCCTGACCTCTGCGCTCTGCGTCACACCCTGACCTCTGCATCACACCCTGACCCCTGCGCTCTGTGTCACACCGATCCCTGCGCTCTGCGTCACACCCTGAGCACTGCGCCTTGCGTCACACCCTGACCACTATGCTCTGCGCCACACCCTGACCACTGGGCTCTGCGTCACTGCATCACTCCCTGACCTCTGTGTCACACCCTAACCACTGAGCTCTGCGTCACACCCTGACCACTTTGCTCTGCGTCATACCCTGACCACTTTGCTCTGCGTCACACCCTGACCACTTTGCTCTGCGTCACACCCTGGCCTCTGCGACACACCCTGACCTCAGTGTTCTGCGCCACATCCTGACCTATGCGTTCGGCGTCACACCCTGACCACTTTGCTCTGCGTCACACCCTGACCTCTGCGACACACCCTGACCTCAGTGTTCTGCGCCACATCCTGACCTATGCATTCGGCGTCACACCCTGACCACTGCGCCTTGCGTCACACCCTGACCACTGCGCTCTGTGTCACACCCTGACCTCTGCTCCGCGTCACACCCTGACCTCTGCACTCTGCGTCACACCCTGACCTCTGCGCTCTGCGTCACACCCCGACCTCTGCACATCCTGACCTATGCATAGCCTCGCCTCACCCCGTGACCACCGTCACACCCTGACCTCAGTGCTCTGCGCCACATCCTGACCTATGCATTCGGCGTCACACCCTGACCACTGCGCCTTGCGTCACACCCTGACCACTGTCACACCCTGGCCTCTGCGACACACCCTGACCTCAGTGTTCTGAGTGTCCACTTTGCTCTGCGTCACACCCTGGCCCTCAGATCTGCTATGCGGCTGCCTATGATTGTGGGCTCCTGATGGCCAGCTCCACTGAGTTCTCATTGTCATGGTAACCAGGGGAAGCTGAACAGTCATTGCAACTGGCCGAAGCCAGCCGTGAGCTCCGCCCAGCTGTCAGTTGCAATGCTGTCGGCCGTTAGCCTGCTTCGGGTTTCACTTCGGCTCAGTTGAGCATAAGCATATGCCTTCGGCTCGACTGAACAGCTCAGCCAGCTTCGGGAGCTGTAAGGGCTATAGTGAATAGCCCGTACAGCAGCCCTTCAGTTCTACTGAACCAAAGAGCTCAGGCAGCCGAAGGATCAGCCGGAGCTACATCAGCACTGACGGAGAGATATGTTAAAATTAAAAAAAAAAAAAATCAAATAAAGTAGATCACTATAAAAATTAACCCCTTATGGTGATTATCTGCAGTTAAGCTACAGATTTTTTTTGCACCCTAAATAGTTAATTTTTTTGTTTTACCCTCTCATGACATACAGAGTACTCCTTTATCACTGAGGGGGTTATTCACTAAGCTGCCGAAGGGGGGCCGAGTCACTGCACCATGGGCCTCTGGGTTGCACTTGCCCCCTGGGTCAAAAGTTGCCAGTCAGCCCCTGGACAGGCTGCATCATGTAGTAGTCTTTGGGGCACTTGAGCTTGACATGAACTCACAAGCTTGCCTATACTAGCAGCCCACCATAAAGGGTGGATTCTTCCAAAATCTCTGAACCCCAAAATTCCTGAAGGGCCGGTAAGTGGTTTTGCTATGGGAGTCCACCACTGCTTAGCAGAACATGAACGTTATGTGTTCTTCTGATGACTGACTCAAGTGGCCTGGCCAAAAAAAAGCCAGAAGTATAAACCATTTTGCCCAAACCACCTCCTAATGCTGGCCACGCATGCATGCAATCATAAATTGTTAATCACATATTCATTATTTTTATTCAATCTCTTGATCAAAAAATAAAAACTAATTCACAAAAAAATGATGAGCAGCTTCTTTTTTTATTAAAATTAAAACCTCAATTTAGAAGATATTCATAATATTGCACAATCATACTGATATGTGTATGGCCAGTATAACACACTCTCATACAATATATAAAAGATTAACAGTGAAAAAGAGAACCCACTTCCATAAACTCTTTATTGTGGATTTTATTTTTAAATAAAATACTTGTTTTCACTTGTTTTTATGCTTTGTTGCATCTGCTAATCTCCGGCAGCCTCATTGTAGCCACTTCCTGTCTACATGCATTTACTCCAGCGAAGGTTGCATAATCTTTCTCAGGGTAAGTTTCCTGCTGGTAACAAAAGTAGGCCATGCTTGTACAATGCATGCTGAAACAGTGACTTGTATTCTCCATCAAAAGCATGTGTGACAGGCAGGGGCGGACTGACAACACATGGGCCCCCGGGTAATATAAGATTATGGGGCCCCCTTGTGCTCCGCTCATATAAAAGCCCCACCCACCCTCAAGATCCACCCACATATACATTGTTGTATTACAGAATTAGTTCTCCACAATATTTTCAAAATAGCAGTCTATTCTCTAAAAGTTGAACTTAATTGCAGGGGAATTGGTAGGAGAATTGTAAAATCTAGACCAATGTAGGCGATTTGGAAAGTGAGCTATTTTGACGTAGATTCTTCAGTTCTGCCAGTTATCCTTGGTACATTTCCTGAGAACTAGTTAGAGAATTGACAGGGGAACTGAATAATCTAGACCTTAGACCAGGGCTCAAAATGTCAAGTCCTGAGCTACTAGCCAGGCCTTAAAAGTTACTCGCCACCAGTCGCCCCACCTAACCCCTACACTGCCCCGGACTTAACTCCGCCAAGGATGTCATCGAGGAACCCGCCGGAGGAACCAGAGATGGGACACTACCACCACGGCGATCGTTCCCTTGTGTTCTCTCTTCTCTTTGGCCGCTCTGTAGCTACAGCGGCCGATGAGAAGAGAGAACAGAAGTGAGCAATTGCCGCAGCGGTAGTGTCCCATCTCTGGTCCCGCCGGCGGCGCTCCTCGATGAGATTCCACTGGCCAATTGCGAGGGGGCGAGTGGAAATTTTGAGGCCTGCGTTAGACCATAACCAATTCACTGCAGATCACAAACAGGTCCCTGTGTGTGTTTTTAAGCAGCCACAGCTCAAACCTCACTCCTGTGATAGACATATATAACTTTAATAACTTTTAATAGAAATTAGCTAACTAAACCTGAGATTGTAGTCCATCATGGGAGCAAGCTTGAAACAGTAGCTACGTTACAGCATACACAGGGACCATGGGGAACAAAAGTAGCCACCCTCCAGAGGGAAGGACAGTGTCTGCACCCATTCAGAGATCATTTAAGGATCTACAGCCGAGTGATACACAAATAAGATACATTTTTGTTAATAGTTAAGGTACTTGAATGTAAGTTGGTTTCAATTTGCAGTAGCCAATAGCAAGCTGGCTATTGCACCCACCCTCTGCTGCTGTCAATCAGCAGAGGAGGACCTGATGGAGAACTTCAGGTCAACCTCTGCTGATTGACAGCAGCATGGGCGGGTGCAATAGCTAGTCTGCTATTGGCTATTGAAATAGCCAATAGCAATCTTGCTATTCATTCCTATGCCGTGTTTTTTTGTTTTGTTTTTTGTCGAGAAAAAAAAGCAGTGAAAGATTTACTCTGCTAGGTAGAGCAAAGTAAACTTTTGCAGGAGAAAATGTTTCTCTCCCGGTTGTCCGGGAGCCGCTATAGATAGATAGATAGATAGATAGATAGATAGATAGATAGAAATACAACTATTCCCTACTGTTATTTGAACAGCAGGAACTATATAATATGAATTTATATTTTACACATAGACTGCAGGGGACACTGCTGCTTAATGTCACACTGGAGTAAAACCTCTGGGAAGAAAAACATATGGAAAAGCATAGCTGTATTTTATATGAAGCAGAGACATTTTTTCCTTATAAATTCTCATTTATTCAGCGCTGTGTAACTTAATTTTATAGAACATTTTATAAAGTATTTTGAAGGTGCTATGGCATTACCACATTAACATGTAATTTAATGTAACGTTCTTATTTTAATAGCTTAAACTCTTGGACCAAAATATTATGAGAAAAAAAAAGAAAACAAATTAATTGTAATAACATAACTGCTTGTTATCTATGTATCTAAGAGACTAAGTAGTTGTTAAGTGTAGTGGTATTATATATGTTCTAATTAACAAAAAAAAAGATTAGTAATGTTTATGTTGTAATTCCCCCTAGGTTCAAGTAAGGTTAATGCAGACCCTTTGCCTCTTTAAATGACATAATTTGATGTTTTGGTCCTACAGAAATGTTTCACATAGAGTTTGACTCACGTTAATGGAAAGGTTAAAGATTTTTTTTTATTTCAAGAAATATATCGCACTTAAATTAGTTTAGACAGGATGACATCAGAGAGTAATTAAATTGGTTTTGGTTGGAATTCCGGTTGCAATTCCTGAGTTCAGGTTTATAAAAGATTTCAGAGCACCTGCAAGACTCTGTGTGTGTGAAATATTTTCACTGGAAAGGATTCAAATCTTTAAAAAAAAGGGTTTTACACAGAGGCAGCATTACGCCATTCTTCCTCCTTGGAAAAAAAACTCTCAGATTTAAACAAGACTCCTTCAAGTATTCAGACAGTTTTCAAGCAGAAAAGCAGGAGGTAAACTTCACCTTTCAGGAGCACGTTCTTCACAGCTGCTCGGCGGAGAACATAGATTACAGCTGAATTCATGTTAGTTTCCACTATGGGACTGGAGAACGACATTAAGCAAACAGATTTAAAGAGGAAACTAAGAAGAAAGTTGTTCCTGCTAGCATTGGTTTTTAATTTGTTTCATGTTGCTGTATGCCAATTTGGTGGACCCTTTGCTTTTTCTTTCTTCTGTGATGTTCAAAGGAAAATCAGAAGATGAAAATACTGAGATTTATCCATTTACTACTTTGGTATCTTACTTGGGACTACCTAAGTCTTGTCCCTTTGGTGTTGGGCCTTTCTGAACAAGGACACACTCACCCAGGACCTAAACTAGAGGTTCCATTTGCAGGAGGGAAAGAGAAGACTCCTTTATTGAAGGCCAACACAACTAGGTCAGGAAATATTGGCCATGGAGTAGGTGCTGCAAAAGCTAGGAGCAAGAATACAGTTGCCCAGACCAGAGTTCTCCTAATTAAAAATGATGAGGCAAAGAAGGAATCTCTGAAAAGACCCACTCTTGAAACAAAGAATGGCAACACTGAGAATAAGCATCCTGGGGAGAAAAATGTGAATACAAGGCCATTACTACTTGGTGGAAAGGCCTCTACCAAAGTTGTCAATGTCCATGCAGATTCTGCTGGATTTAAACCTAAAAAATCTACAAACCCAATTACAGAGAGACAACAAAAAGACACTTTTAAGCACCCCCTTATTACTCCTCATGAGTATATGTTATCACTGTACCGAGCTCTATCTGATGCTGAAAGGAAAGGTGTGAATGGAAGCCTGAAACTTGAGGCAGGCTTAGCTAACACTATCACCAGTTTTATAGACAAAGGTCAAGGTAAGACTATGCCAGCTCCAGTAGGGGCTTTAAAAATTGTCAAAAACAATGTATTGGCTGCAACCTATACCAGGCTTTTGAAAACTAAATTTCATGAAAAAAGTAGAGGCCTTTTTTTGTGGAATACAAGTCTAATACAAACTTTACTTTTTATTGCACAGTTCATTATATTAAAACTAATTTAAATACGAAATTAATTTGGTTTGGTTGGTTATTAGGTTACTTTCTTGTAACATAATTATTTTGGAATACTGCAGGGGAAAAAAATGTGTACATCAAATTTTGCATATTTGTGTAACATCTTTCAAAAACATTTCTCCTATTTTTGCTTTGTACTTTTTTCTTATTTCTATTTTTTTCAATGTTTTTTGTATGATGCGATCATCTTTTCTAACACTTTTGATTATGCAAGTTTTTGTTATGTATGTGTGTTTTTAATGGTGCATCAGCACTATCTATCTATCTATCCATCTATTGAAGTTTTTTTGTGATCAAATTATCACTATCAGTTTTATTATTCGGAAATTAGTAGAAATATTAATTTGCTTGCTTTTATAAAGTTTACCAAACGCTAACATGAAAGTAAAATGGTTCACTAAGTTGATTGTATTTGTTTTCAATTTAGAGTTGCAAGGTTATTCAGCACAGAAACCCTATGTGACTGTATCGTTTGACAGAAATCCTCTGTGCGCCAAATGAAAATAAACAATTTGTCTGCGCCTCTGATGTAACAGACTCAGCAGCGAAAATGTTTCAGGAACAGACAAAACATTGTTCTAAGGGATTGAAGAGAAGGGTTTCTAAATTGCAACCTACATTTTGGCTTTCTGCTTCATGTGAACTGGCTAAGGAAGGCACTTAAATTACATGTTGGTTTAACATAAGAGGGTTTTAATTAGACTTGTGTGCAGAGAAGTAGAGGTTACAGGAAATTAACAGACCATGAATACGTTTGGGATTTTGATATTTGTGGAGGCGATATTTTTTATAACTGATTTCCTATCTAGTTGTCTCGTAATATAAGAGTACATGCTGTTAGTATCAAAAGCAATATGTCACAAAGCAAAACACCTGTTGTGATTACTCTGATGGAAGCAGCCACCTGAGTTTTGTGTCTTTTTATTATTATTCACATTATACAGGATTTATATGGCGCCATCAGTTTGTGCAGCACTTTACAACATATGGGGAGACAATACAATACAATACCATAGAAAAGAAATAGAAGCACTCTTCTCATGAGAGCTTACAATCTACAAGGAGGGGCAAGTGATACAGAAGGTAATAACTGTGGGGGATGAGCTGATTGAAGGAGTAGTTGTACAATTTGTAAGAGGGGGTGGAATAGTAAGTCTCAGAAAGTACAACTAATCCTTTTCACACTGGGTCATTACTCTTGAACTAGTGTCGAACTTATGAATTAGGAATGACTGCTTCCATCGGAGCCTAACCACACAAATGCTTTCCTTTGATGCAGAGTCATTTAAGCCATAACATTCAATCTAATGTAAAACAACAGGCTGCAATAAAGTAATTTAAACATCAGATTTTTTAATTGCAAAAAATTGTATGTGTTTTTGAAAATGGTGATTAGCTCTTTTTACATCCCAAGCGAGTTGTAAACAAGACAGAAAGTTTTTAATTCCTTAGTAATTTCAGTCTCAATCTCTTGTTAGGCCTTGGTGCCCTTTAAAGTACTGAGCTATTGTGATGGGTATGTTGAAAGACTAAGCAGAGGTACTTTCAGCAATGCATTGTATATTGTATTTTATAAACACCTGTAGCTTATAAAGCACCCAGAACTTTGGATCCTGCAGTGTAGTAAATCATGTGAATTTCCCCATTATAAAAGCCCTTGATCATAGTAGTGAAAACAAGCAAACAGATTCCGTAAGATCTGTGCCTCGAGTGTAGAGTAGATTGATGTTCCAATAACAGAACCTGATGACCATAAAGGCAATGTGTCCGTATGCTAATTAATGTACTCAATATCATGGGGGAACACTTTCTAGATCATGTACCTAGCCAGCTGTCAATGGAAATCATTATAAAATAATACGTAAAATATTAAAGTGCTCAAATTAACATTTACCTACATGTTTTATAGTGTTTAAGGGGCTTATCAGTTAAACTGAACTCAGGAGATAAACCCTAAAACTGCATTCAAGTACCTTAACTATTAACAAAAATGTAGCCTATTTGTGTATCACTCGGCTGTATATCTGAAATCATCTCTGAATTCCTGCTGACACTGTCCTTCCTTCTGGAGGGTGGCTACTTTTGTTCCCCGTGATAGACTATAATTGCAATACAAATGAGTAAACTAAATGTGAGATTGTAGTTCATCATGGGAGTGAGTTTGGAGGGGTGACTACTTTACAACACACACAGGAACCATGGGGAACAAAAGTAGCCACCCTCTAGAAGGAAGGACAGTGTCAGCATGAATTCAAAGATGATGTGAAGACCTACAGCTGAGTGGTACACAAATAAGCTAAATTTTTTGTTAATAGGGAGGGTACTTGAATGTATTTTTAAGATTTAACTCCTGAGTTTAGTGTCACATTAAGAAAAGGTTGTGACAGTGATGCATAAAACTGACTTTCGGTTTATGAGGCACCCACTATGTTAGTTTTAGTGGCTCTTCAATAGCTGCAGGGTAGCAATGGAAGATTAAGTTGTCCTTTGTATGCATGTAAATGCATTGAAACGTGGATTTTTTCTTTCTTTCTTTCTTTCTTTCTTTCTTTCTTATGTGTTTGCATGTACTCTATGGGGGTGATTTACTAACCTAAACACACACACGCATTTTTACACAGCAAAACGTATTTATCAACCAAACACAAAGTATTTGCTATGCGGCTTAGTCACATATCGTTGAAATAAAAAGACAACTTGGTTCTAAGCATGCAGTTTATTATCCCACAATGTCTATCAAATTCATCACAAATGTATCTAAGCAGTTACAGGGATGTCAAAAACAACACACAAATGCAGTACATTGGAAACCTGCGTGACTGTCTTGTGTACTTGCAAGTATGGTTGTAGGCATCTTGTCTCAAGAGATGATACTGATGTTTTCTGCAGCTTAGTTGCCTATGAGAATACATATTACCATATGTATTTTGGAGCTGTAATACAGTCGAATTCTGGAATGGAAGGCTATATTGCAGGCTTTAAATGAAAAGGATGATCGGATGAGGAAGAGACTTTCCCGTGTTTAGGGTGGTTTAGTCTTTTTCATTGCACACTCTGTCTTTGTGTTGCCTTTGCGACTCCAGATTGTACCCTTTGGTGCTAGGCATCTTAGATTTCTGCCTCCTTGTTTTATGGCTGGTGCCACATTCTAAAAAGTAGGAGACGTTTAGAGGGGTTTCAATTCACTTAGCTGCATTAAAACCACAAGAGCATAGTCTTTTTGTTTAATGACTTTAAAAAATTAGGTGAAATAATAGTACAGAGACCTTTTTTTGGTAAACATTAGTATGATATAATCCAAGTTTATTTTAAAATGATTCGAGCTATAAAATTATATGATATACTCTTCTGCAATTATTAGAAACCAGGCATAATTTGTTATTTTAACTACATGTAATTTAGGCACTGACCAATCAAAGGCCTGGATTTCATTTTGTAAAAGAATGCATTTACATTTTTATAAACAGCATGTCATTTGATCATAATGTTGCATTAACTCGCCGCATCAAATTTTAAAACATAAGAAAATTTAACTTTTTATAGTTTTTACTTTTACTTTAATTTACTTTTTATAATTTACAAACAATAATTACTGTTAACTCTTTTTTCTTTTAAGATGAGCGACTGGCGGTAACAAGAAGACAAAAATATATTTTTGACATCAATGCACTCGAAAAAGATGGTTTGCTGGGGGCAGAACTGCGTATTCTAAGAAAAAAACCCACAGATGCCAAATTTCAGCTTTCTGGAAAGTTTTCCCAGATAAAGTTGTACATTTGCCCAGCAAATAAGAGGCCAGCTACTCTTTTGGACTCTCGGGCACTTAGTAACAGCGACACATCAAAGTGGGAAGTTTTTGATATTTGGAAACTTTTCAAAAACTTCAAAAACTCTGCTCATCTATGTTTTGAACTAGAGGTGTTGGAAAAGGGAAAGCCTGTTGACTTAAAGACTGTGGGTTTTAACAGAACTGGTCGTCCAACTAATGAGAAAGCAATATTTCTTGTCTTTGGTAGGACAAAGAAACGGGACTTGTTTTTTAATGAAATCAAAGCCAGGTCTGGCCAAGATGATAAAACTGTCTATGAGTATTTATTCAACCAAAGAAGGAAAAGAAGAGCCCCTTTTTTATCCAGAAAGAGGCCAAATAAAAATTCAAAAGCAAGATGTAGCAAGAAACCCCTTCACGTCAACTTCAAGGACATGGGGTGGGATGACTGGATTATTGCACCTTTGGAGTATGAGGCTTACCATTGTGAAGGACTTTGTGAATTTCCTCTTAGATCTCATCTAGAACCCACAAATCATGCAGTAATCCAAACACTGATGAATTCCATGGACCCAGAGTCTAGTCCCCCTACCTGCTGTGTTCCAACAAGGCTGAGCCCGATCAGTATTCTGTACATAGACTCTGCCAATAATGTGGTCTACAAGCAGTATGAAGACATGGTTGTTGAGTCTTGTGGCTGCAGGTAGTAACAGTTAATAAGGCATGTTGACCTAAAAGACTTAAAAGCAAAAAAAAAAAAACATTGGGTGCAAAGTTATAATGCACTTTTAAATATTACCACTGTACATAATGCAATATTTTAAAATCCATGGACTATGAACTTTTATGACATTGATAGACTTTTTGGGAGAACACTGCAACAACATGTATAAAATATGAATAGGAAATTAACCTAATAATTATAAACCAGAACAAGAGAATATATTTAGAGGTGACAATGCTAAAAGCTTAATCAATGGCAATGTATTTGTTTACTTTTTCTCAAAAGTGTAAATACTATACAAAGAAAAACACTTTCTAAATTGAACTTTAAGTGTTATCTTTGAAAGCTTATAATAAGAAACAAGTCTTAACCTATATTGGTGGCTGTGGTATACCATATATTACTGTATGCTAGAAAACAAATACATTTTGTGGCACCTTATTCAGGCCATTCAGTATGTATAAACTGAAAAATTAATGATGATTAGTTATGTAACTGTTAAGTTTTATTGACCATTTTCAAATTACATGATTGTAAAAATTGATAAATCTCTGAAGATGTTCTTTGGTACTGCAATCGTTACTTGCCAAATACCTAGTAAACCCATTTTTTTAAAATGACTGCATTCTTGGTGGAGCTAGAATCTTCTATAACCTTCTATAACCAGTCAGACCATTGTCATGATTGGACAGAATAATCTCCTAAAACTTATGTCCTCTCAAAAATCCATCACTTAAAGTGGACCTTTACCCCCTTTCACTAAAAATCACATCAGCATACAACTCTGCATGCTGATATGAAATCCTCTTACATTAATTAATTAAATGAACATATTTTACTTACAATTACTGTTTTTCTACTTCCTGGTCCTCTTCGGCATTAGTGATGTAATCTGTGCCTAAGCACAGCTGGGAATATTACATCAGCATGGCATTGCAGTGCATTTTCCTCCCCTAAGATGATGTGCATGGTCACATGTCCTAGTCACATGTGCCAGAGTTCCAGGAACTAAAGGGAGATATATTAATCTGCCCTTAGAAAAAATGGTCACTGGGAGAAGAATGAAAAGGAAAAGAAAATTAAGGTAGGCACATAATAAAAAGTCTGCAAATATCTAGAAGTATTTGTTTGTAAATTGACATTACAGAACATATCTAAAGGTGTATATGTTGTAATTTCAAAGATATGGGTAAAGTTCCTCTTTAATATAAATATATACCAAAGTATTAATAAATGGTGCGACTATTATTATAATATACTCATTTTTAAGCAAAATAATAATTCATATGTTTAGATAAAATAAAGAATAACTACACAGGCTTGTAATACATGAAAATTCTTTATTGTAATGTATTACAGTAACCCTGAATTCATATTCTCCAGCCAGAAGTGAGACAACATAGTGATTACAATGCTCAAACTGAATCTTCTGTGCCATGTCTATACCCTGATACAATGTGCAGGTGCATACTGGGAGAGGAAGACAGTAAGTCTGAATCAGGATGCTTGTTCAGCTCAAGTGGCCAGGCTGACAAAGCCTCTGACACCCAGTCTTCCTTTCCCAGCAGGCACCAACACATTGTAACAAGATACAGAGATAAGACATGAGACTCATCCAGAAGCTTCTGATGCAAACACTGTCAGGGTTATTCACAAAGGGGTGAAGAGTTTAGAGAAGGCAGTTGAAGTGAACATTTTACACAATCATGTGTGTATGCTCCACCCTTGCAGGCCAGACAATGTAAATCCAGCTTTTCTAGGAAAGAACGGTAATGAATTATAGTTAAAGTGATATTAAAGTCAAGATCTTTTTAAGCTAATCATTTACAATGGATGCTGCTCCTTGATGCTTAACAGTTTTAGTTCCTGCAGAATCAGCCCTCTGAGCAAGGGCCCTAGGGTAGTTCCTTTCCCTCATAGGGTCCTATGGAGCCACCTTTGTGTGTGTAAGCAAGCTGTGTGTGTCTCCAGAACACAAAGGCACAGTAAAGAAACACAGACTCCTGCACCCTGCCTCCCTGTCTCCTTCTTCCCTTCATCAAGCCAGTAGATGAACAGCTGCTGAAGACTGTGCTGTCCCTTGTGATCTTGCACTGGACAGAAAGTTCAAGGAAGCAGAACTGAGAAAGTTGGAGCCAGCTGTTAAATAACATGATGACTGTAATTGCTTGGACAAAAAAAATGTAAGAAATACTTTGCTTGGCAATGTATATTTGTTTGATCTGGACTAATTATTGGAAAAACATTGAGCATTTAATACTACTTTAAGATTTTTTTGGGTAGACATGAAGTACTACATGCCTGCTATCATTAGGGATGCACAGATACAGAGTATCTGGGCAAGTACTCGTACTCGCTTAAATGCTCCGTTAATTACCTCCGCTACTGGAGGGAACATGGAGCCGGCTTTCTTTCCAATCAGGAAGCTTGGAGGTGGGTTATGACTCGCATCCCGACTTCCTGATTGGTCAGGAAGTCACGCTGCACAGCAACAAGTGAAGCCGGCTTCCTAGCCAATCAGGAAGCCGGGAGGCGGGTCATGATGTGCTGCCCAGCTTCCTGATTGGCTAGGAAGCCAGCTTCATTTGTTGCTAAGCTGCCTGGCCAATCAGAAAGCCAGGCAGCCTCTGCAAGTGAAGCCAGTATTCTTTTGCTAGAACACCGGCTTCACAGGCAATCAGCAATCCGAGCGACAAGTCATGATCTGCCGTCTGACTTCCTGATAATTGTGGCACTCCGTATCAGTGTGTACCGAAAACAAAATATCGGCACTTGTTCTCGAAACCGAAAAACCGGTATAGGTGCATTCCGAGCCATCATAATTGCAATCATCATCTAAAACTTTATTTAACAAAAGAGTTAATACAATAATGGTCTGGTGACATATTCAGAAAATAGAGTCACATAAACAATTTAATGCATTGTCAAAGTGAGCCATTTGCTTACAGCATCCTTTAATTTGGAAACATTTTCTTGAATGAGAACTGCACCATAAAGCTATAGTTAACTGATCTGTTCACCCAAATATCTGTTTTCAGTAGATTATGGCATGTTGTATCACAGTCCAGCTTATTTTACTTTTTGTGCAATAGTTCCTGGCTAGGGCATGTGGGTGGTCATACAACCTAGGTTTCTTAAAGTGACACTAAATTCTGGAGTTAAATCTTAAACATGCATTCAAGTACCTTAACTATTAACACAAATGTATTTTATTTGTGTATCACTCAGCTGTAGATCCTCAAATATTCTCTGAATTCATGATGACTCTGTCCTTCCTTCTGACTACTTTTGTTCCCCATAGTCCCTGTGTGTGTTGTAAAGTAACCATCGCTCCAAGCTTTCTCCCGTGATGGACTACCATGTCAATACAAATTAGTAACCTAAACAGGAGATTGTAGTTTATTACGGGAGTGAGCTTGTAGCTGTGACTACTTTACAACACACACAGGCACCATTTGGAACAAAAATAGCCACCCCCTGGAAGGAAGGACGGTGTCAGCAAAAATTCACAGATGATTTGAAGACCTGCAGCCGAGTGATGCAAAAATAAACTGCATTTGTGTTAATAGTTAGAGTACTTTAATGTATTTTTAAGATTTAACTCCTGAGTTTAGTGTAACTTTAAAGGGCCCAAGAGGCATACAAAGCCATTGGGTGATTCAACCAAAACAAAGTTAAAACATTAGTTTTCAATGAACGGACCTGGTTTTAAATACTACTGGCAATTACATGTCTTTATGGTCCCGCAGACCAAAATAATACCATTCTACTATATACTCCATAAGTCTGGTGCTAGTAGGAGTTTACCGGCAAAATTGTTGTTGCCCAAATTTGAGGTATGCAGCCTCCTCCAACCTCTGTGCTGGGCACATCCCTTTATACTGTAGCGAAGCCATACCTGCTTAAAAACACAGATGTGTTTGTAGCATGGAGGAAAGAAAATAATTTCATCTTGTTCTGCCCTAAAAAGCACCAAATGAGACCAGAGCCTCCCCCTTGCTTAAATTTGAACTCTAGCACTGAAAGGGTTAAATGCTTGGTTTTCACCTAGGGTCCCTGTAAAGAGAACCCTACTCGCCTTATCCTTCACTTTGCTGGCAGTTGATGCTTATTTCTTCTCTGTGACGCTCCAAGTTGTGGGCAGGCTCTTGGCAATCTCATATGCTATGCAGGGTTGATATTCCTGCATTGAACATGGTGATGTAACAGGTAAGTAAATGTGCTTTTTACTGGTGTCATAGGCTAAAATGAACATGTAATCCTTGAGGTGTGGGAGAAGCCCCACTGCAAAGGTAGTTTGTTCATAATTCTGGAGTTCAGCTTTAACAGTTCTGTGTGTATTTAATGATTTGTTGTTGTGTTGGGATTTCGCGAGTTATACATAAAGACGTTTGTCATGGAATTCGGTTTTTGGGTGGACAGCCCCTTTTGACTGTAAACTACTGTGAAACGTACAAATTACCTAAAAGCAAGAGTAGCTTTCATTACTTGATTGAATAGTTTATCTAAGCCTAAAGGAAGCTTGGCTTAGTAAACTAACACAGTTAGAAAACTGTTGGAAATTGAGTAGTAAGATGTAATTTAATTTTAGAAAATACATTTTTCTGAACCCAATGCATTTTGACTTCATAATTGTAACCATTGGCATTTTAGATGAAACTGTGTCCATAACTTTTCTATAGATGTTAAGGACTTTGCAAAGTTAACCTTTCCAGGAAACCTTGAAAGAAATATGGAGGCTGCCATTGCCAACCTGCCTTTTCTGTTTTTATTCAGAGTACATAAGGCCATGTCCATTTATACATTCTGCATGTAAGTGTTCACACAAACTTTTACATGCGTACCATGTAGAATGTGGTCAAAATCAGACCACAGAAACAGAATTTAATTGTTTTTGCTTGTGCATCTAAACACTACGGACCAAAACGCAGCTGTGCGAATAGACCCATAGCATACAATACCGTTGCATTCAGATCTATATAA